ATCCCGGTGGACGGTATTCTCAGGTTGCAGTATGGTTCTTTCGCCGGAACTACCAAAGCGCTGCAGGCTACACGCGCAATGGGTCAAACTCGTCAGCACTTAGGCAGAATACCCAAAATCGAGACCCAACTCATTGAATGGGCCCAACTTCTCAGACAACAACGGGTGACCGTAGTGAAATCATGGTTCATAAATCAGGGGAAGAAACTGGCATTGGCTTATAATGTGGAGTTCGAATTCAGTTACGGGTGGTTCGATAACTTCCGGAAACGGCACAATCTGCACAAGCACACGGTCAAGGGGAAACCATTGAGTTATGAACTGGTGCTGAAGGAGTGGGATGTGCACGAGATGGAGATGCGCAAAATACGAGAGAAACTGGGCGGGTATGCGCTCGAGAACACATACACGATTGACGAGACGGTCCTGTACTACAAACGGCTGCCTGTGCGTATGCGATGGCAGGAGGGCGATGAAAGTGCTAATTTTGCGAAGGTCCAGGATGTGAGCAAAGTTGGCGTGCACGCGGTAGAGATGCCCTTGGAGATGAGTGGGACGTCTTCGAGTGGACATAGCGTGAACACGGAGAAAAGACCTATGAAAGAAAACCATTCGACGGGTGTACCCGCATATGACCGTGTGACGCTTATTATATGCGCGAATGCCACGGGCACGGATAAGGTTCCGATTGCTATGATAGGGGCCACGAAGCACCCTATTTGTTTTCTGGACTCATTTTGTCCCATTCCGTATAAATACCAGGTAAACGCGTGGAACGATGTGGGGGTGCAAGAATGGTGGGTCAATGAGGTGTTTCTGAGACATATACGTACGCAAACGAAGGAGAAGACAGTATTAGTGATGAATAACTTTGGGGCAGGAGAGTTTGATATGGAGAGAGAGGGTGTCCGCTTTCTGGGATTACCACCGAATACGGCCCACGTGTATCAGGTAGGGTGTAGGTATGGCATGTATGTGTGTCTGTAGAATCAACTAGGGGGCAAAGTTCACGTTCCTGCGTGTGACTTATGTAATATACGTGTATGTCTGTAGAATCAGCTGGGGTGCAATTTCCTCACATGCAAGTTCAAATTCCTGCGTATGACTTATACAATATATGTTTCTGTCTGTAAAATTAGCTAGGGTGTAGTTTTCGCACATGCAAAGGTCAAGTTCCTGTGTATGGCTTATATATCTGTATATCTGTCAAATCATAAAAGAGTGTAGGCTTCACACACGCAAAGTTCAAGTTCCTGCGTATGACTAATATACGGGTGCATCTTTAAAATCAGATTTATACTTATTTATATATAAGCATGCAAAGTAAGTTCCTGTGCATGGCTTGCATACATGTATGTGTACATAACTATAGCGCATGGTATAAGTTGCAGTGAAGTTAAACGGTACATGTGCGATGCACGCACATAAGTAGAGATGCTTGGAAAGCAATATCATTTCCGAATGGGTACATTGCATTCTTTGTACATCTTATGTATTCAGTGCTTACTCAATGTCTTCCTCTGTTTGCCCTTCTCGATGCCTCTTCTTTTAACCGCCGCCATTGCAGCCCATGAATAGTGGTGTAGTCGATGCGCTCCGATTTGAGTACAAGAATTTGTTGATAAGGTAGAATAAATATGTATTTACAAATGTATGCATATGCACGTACGTACATATACATACTCGAGTAATTGTGTGGGGACTGGTAATTTCTGTGTATGTGCACATTACCATTAAGTCTATCACATTACTCACTTGATGATACACCTTGAAATGTTATGTTACGCTGTAGTTTACAATGGCACCCATATGCTCGAGTGCGATCTTTTTCATGTAATGAGAATTATTTGGTGCCCAATCACGTTTCCACAACTGGTGTGCCATACCTCTCTATTGTGTCGAACCTGGATGCACTATCAGCTCCCAGGGCACTTCTATACGTGATTTGCAAAGACTTTTTTATTTACGTATACAAGACATGTACGCGGTGTATACTTGGCTGACTATACCGTTGCACAAAACTGAGGCTGAAACCAACGAGTAATTATAGTTTTGCATCTGCATGTGGACTATCGCGTGTATTGTATTGGTCACTACCAATGGCATGCCAGTGATACGAGAGCGATTTACCGCAAGCTCACAACATTTTTCCTCGATTTGTGTCACGTACACTCGCCCTACGGTTACGTCAGTATCACATACAAGTTATGCGTATCACATGAATTCACAATTACCACACTCATACCTACTATACACTCACACACCTTAACAGGAGGGTGCTAGCTAACCAAAAGTGCTCCGAGACGCTGACAAAGCGAAGAAAAGTAGGCGCAAGGCGCCCACAAGGCACTCGTGGTCTGTCGTTCGGCTACGATGCGACTCTGCAGGACGTCGCTCACTTGTGTGCGGAGGCATGGCGTGATCTCTCAGGTGTGGACATCAGCCGATGCTGGCGCAAAAGTACACTCGTGCCCCCGGATATGGCGGGCGTGGTGCCCCATGTGAGCTCTATTCTCACCAATGATATGGATCCACCGGCGATCATCCCTACCACGGAAGAGACTGAACTACGCGAACGCCGAATTAGAGAGCTCTGCGAGTTGACCAAAACGCTGTGTGAGGGGAGCGCTGACCAGAGGGAAGGTTGTGCAACAGATGCTCAGTGTAGGGAGGCGGTGGTAAGGTGGCTGGATGCTGAAGGGGATGAGAAGGTGCTACTGGACACCGTGCACACAGCCATGGAACGTGCGGGTGTATTCATTATAGATACGCCCACGCCGACTGCGAGTGCACGTGCGCCTGAGGCAGCAACTAGTGATGGGGTGCTGGCTGAGATGGAGAATATGCCCACGACAAGAGATAGGAATGAGTGTACACCTGTTGTACTGCATGAAAGTGCAAGTGTGAGAACGGGCGTGCAGGCCACTAAAGATCAGACGACGAATAGGGTGGAGGACTGTGATGCAGACGCCCATACACGAGTGGCTTCCAACGCATCTGTAATAGATATTGCGGGTGCACTTGTAAGGCCAAGCGCAAACACAGCCACAAGCACATGCACTGGCGCATTTGGGAAAACCGCATGCACGATGAATGCCTTGGACCCAATGGGAACAGCTGTTGCGAGCATGGACCATACAGATATTATTAGAGGCGTTGACAGCAGTAGATCATACGGAGGCGAGGGTGTAGTCAACAATGTGACTGCCCATTCTACCACAAATGTGGACAAATCACTGGAACTCGATAGAGCTTCAACAGCCGAGCCTCCTGGAGCGAGCACGGCACTTGCGATCATGAGTGTGTGCGATACTGCAAGCCTGGCGTATGACAATGTCAACGTATCAACCGACATAACGAACGCGGCCAAAAGCAACAAGGATGTATCGTGCAATGTTCCGAACAGGGTTAATGTCCGTGAGAACACATTGGGCAGCAGGACGATGGTGCCCCAGTACCATATGAAAACTATAGGCAACGAACCAAGCGCCGCTGAAACTAATGCCAACCTATCAACCGAATCAAGTCGCGTGCCAGTCCCATCGAACGCTGAAACAAAGGAGGCGACGGTGGTTGTGCTTGCAAGGGAGCGGTTGAGTTTCCTGAAAGGGTTCGACGCAGCAGCGGCTATGGCCTGGTTGGACCAGGGGCTGGATTCTACTGCACCGTATGTGAGCGTAGCACTGGTGAACAGCTTGTTCGAGCTCAGAGCGGAGTTTGCCCGCATTCAACGGGAGAGGGAGTTCCTTGAGAAGGGTGAGGGTCTGGTTGATTATATACACTGTGATGGAAAGCTTGATATGGGTGTTTTGCAAACACCTAGTACTCATGGGTACACACCAGCTGTGGATAGCAGTGCTGAAATGTGGACTGTGTTGGACAGCAGCCAAGACTCGACTGGTATCAATAGAAGTAATAGCGAACTTGTCGATGAGAATGCCACAAGCCCTGGAGCTGAAACAATGAACACAAATGCAAGTACGCATACGAATAGTTCCGGACACAGTGTGGGTACGAGGTCTGGTGATTGGATGGGATCAATAACTCTATCTTCAACAAATGCGGTTACAGACAGCTCAAGTGTTCGCGGAACGTCCGCCAGGGAGAAGCAGACGGAGACCGAATACGTTACCAAACAAATCACTTGCACGAGGTCAAATACGAACACAGCAACGGTAATGGGTATGAGTAGCAATAGCCGTGGAATATTTAGAGACAATTCCAGTACGATCCAGTGCACACAGTAAACCACCCAACTCCCGAATACACAGCAGATAGCACTGACACAATTTGCACAAGACATTGGGGAATCACAACACACCCAGTATGCTGGACACCCACCGTCATATGTTGCACAGCAATGGAAGGGAAGCATTGTAGGCACACCCTTGAGTAGACATAACACACAACCGCGGCTCCAGCGTCCGAGTATAAGCGCTCAGCCAACGCAGCTACTGCACCAAAGTGGACACCCATTGCAACTACAGCCGAACTCACATATACCTCACAAACATGGAGACGCACAACAACCGGCACACGCTCAATCGCAAGCGCGGATTGCAAGCTCAGCTAGACAGGACTGTCAGAAGTGATGTTTATACACCACTCGCCCACACACAACAACCACAACCACAACAACAGCTACAGCAACAACAACAACAACAACAACAACAACATCTACAACAACAACATCATCATCATCTACCAACAACAACAACAACAACCACAGCTACAACAACATCATCATCATCATCTACCAACAACAACAACAACAACCACAGCTACAACAA